TAAGCTGCGTGGATGCAAAAGTGCGTCGACGACGGCGATGATCCCGCGGGAGTTAAAGCCCACTTGTTGGAATGCGTACCGAGCGCGCACTGAAAGGAAATGTGGGACGCGCGAGAGCCCCAGCCACGTTCTACTCACTGATAAAAGCCGCGGGAGACCCCCCGCGCGCGCGCACACCGGCGCTCTACAACCGCCTGTGCGCGTAGCCGCGTGTATGTGTGTGCGAGTAGCGAGAGAGCCGGTTTAAGGTACGATGGGCACTATCCTCTCTCCCTCGCTCTCACGTGCATTACGCTACTTGCGCGATTATATATGCATTTTCATAAAGCGCCCATGGAAGAGAATTGCTCCCGAGAGGAAACGCACGTACGCGCGCTGTTTTGCTGCGTCGTTCAATGCTGTGCATGTTATGGAAACATGTTTCGATTTCGGTTGTTATCGGTAACCAAAGAAACGACGATAAATAAATCATTTTTTTTTTGTTTCAGCCTACCTGGACGTCGAAATGTGTATTTATTATAGGAAATTGCAAAATGTTTACAATTGGCAATGTACAACTCGCCTTGGAAAAAAAACTTTATTCCTATGTTCAACTTCCGGAAATGCAATGATACGCCTTTTCACTTTTTACTTAATTTGCGAAACGCTGTGTGCACATATCTCTGTATACCAATGTTATTAAATAAACTTTGTTCTCAGTCTACAGATATAAATGATTTATTTATAAAAATATAGAATTTAAAGGAAAAACATTGATTTGAAATACGTCGCTAATCAGTGTGATCGCACCTTAATTTCGCGCTCAAAACGCGACAACGTGTTAGTTGAATGCACATACTCACATTTACTTACATGCGCATAAGTGAACGTCGTGAAACTCGGTACGTGAACCTATATATGGTACCTCACGTACGTACACAATCATAACGTTACCGTAACGTAAAACAAAGTACAATAACCCAATGATACGTATGCGAAACGCAGTCGACTCGGCTCCGAAGTAATCAATGTCGAGGCTTAATGTGTGCAGGAGGGACGAGACGACAACTATACAACACGTGAGAGGATGACTTCCGTTTTTTTTTCAACGCCGCGCACGATTTCCTTTCTCCCTCCCGCTGTCCCTCCCTTCCTCTCTCTCTCTCTCTCTCTCTCTCTCTCTCTCTCTCTCTCTCTCTCTCTCTCTCTCTCTTTCTTATATATATATACATATACATACATATATATATAAACGGCTTTTGCATGGTCGCGAGGCTGAAATATGGGGAAACGAGTACAAACCTGCTGATTTAGGGACTGGGATCGCCTTATTCCGTCGGCGCTTCCGGCCAAGCTGATAATTGTCGAGAGCTCTGAAATGCAAGCTCGTCGTTGCAAATGTGCCGGTGAACACCGATATATGGCTCTCAAATAGCTAGGACTAGGAAAGGTGTTGGGAATCACTGATTTCTTCTGTTTTCTACAAAGAGGGCGCCGCGTTGAATGCTTAGTTAGAGAATATAAACACAAGTGACTGACTTTTTGTTGATTGTTTGAAAGGGACCGCATAAAGAATTATTTATTCTGCATTCTGAAATTTTCCTGATTCAGACTACACAGTGGTACTTTACACCGGTCATACTCGTTTGGTACAATTTTTCATTAACAGACTACTTCCTTAACAGTCATCTAAAAATGTTGTTACAATTAACAATTTTTAATGAATTCTAGATTAATTATTGTAGAAACATCAGTACTGCGGTAAATGTTACATCATTTCTGATTATTTCTCAGTAAGTAGCTCCATTTGTTCTTCTTCTGACATAAGTTTTTATAATTGAGTCGTAAAATAAGGTAATAGAGGTGATGCACATGAGAAATATTTCCAAGTTCCCAAAGTCATTTCAGGAAGAGTCTTTATAGATTCGGAAGTTAACATACAGTCTTATTATGAAATATAAAGTACTCCGGAAACATTCGAATGGAACAAGCATTTTTAGTTCGAGATTCGCATGCCTTACAAGAAGGCAAGATTGAATCTAATTATTCTAGAAGATTCCATTGTTGTTGCATTCTGCGATGCCAACTGCCAATTTTAGTGGTAATTATATAATAATACTATAGCGTATCTTAGAAAATCGACAAACTGGAGCTCATAAGCGACTTTGTCACCATTTGGAGTAGAGAACAAATGATTATTGCTATATACGGTACTTTTGTGATTCTAAGAACATGAAAAGTTAATTATATTTATTTATTGATACTTTGAACAGTTTCCGACGAAGTACTCCTTTTTAAGTTATTTTATGATGCAATTTAATTGTAGAGATTACGAATAATTAATGTAACATAATAGCTTTCGTTACTGTGACTTTTACTCTGACAGGGAATGTCATATAATCTACTTTCTTTCTTAATTTCTACCTAGAGGAAAATAAAACTACTCGAGTGTCGCGACTAAAATAACATTTCTTTATTCATAAAATTCATTCATAAAATATTTTTTTCACTTGAAAAGTATTATTGAATTGATTATATACAATAAGTCTTTATACGGAGAATGTTATCCACCTAAGCATGTAATAATGACTCAAATGAAAGGAAACAGCATTGACCAGAAATTTTAACACTATGCATCATAATATTTTTGATCTAATTAATAATTAATACTAGAAAAACGAAAAATATTTTACAGTGGATTAATTAAAATTTTGTTATGACTGAAGAAAACTATGTGCTTATGTCAGCTATTTTTAGAAGCACAAAGTGTATAAACATAAGCTGAATTTTATTTTTAATTGGAAGTTTTATTCTAATATTTAAATGTTTTACAACTTACGAAAACGACGTTTTTATATCAGCTTTTTTTGTATTATGCAGCATATAAACATGAGTGGTATTTTTTAAGGTCACCTAAGGTGCATACGATTCATATGAGTGCCAGTTTTTCTGAAAATTAATGTAATTCCGTATGTATTCAATTCTCGACAAAGTATCACATAAAATGTTGAAACAACTTTCACCTTGGATGAATAGATTAAGATGAGGAGCAAAAATTATTTCAGTGGATTGTACGGACGTTTTAAGTACGATTTCCGTTTTTCATAGACGTACAGGTACAACATAGACAGAAGGAAAGAAAAAGAGAGAAAAAAAGTAACCGATGAATCAGTAGAAAAACGGAACGCGCGGCCGACGTACACTCACGTAATAACATCTCGTGTACTCCGTTTTTCTACGTAAGAACTGCTAAAAGATGCAATGATTAGAGGATACGCATAAATTATCTTACTATTGAGTCTGTGATTCGTTACAGCCAATTTCAATGGGTCGCGATGCGAGAAAAACAAAGAGACGCTATAGGTAAATTAAGCACTTGAACTGCGGTAAGGTAAGATAAAGAACTCGGATGTTTCGAAATGCAACCAGGAAATTCGTTTAAAACACGAAATTCTTTGTGTTTGCAGACCGAGAAACAAATAAATGTCTCGCTGTATCGTTTTGTACGTGCCGCTTTATTTTCTCTAATCTTCAACGCGAAAAAAAGCACGCTATCAAAATACTTATTTTCCTATAATAATCGGATTTAACCAGGCGATGTTGATTGAAAAAAAAATTATATTTTATTTTGAATGGATATTAATTTTCTATGAAGTGATTTAGTCTCATAAAACTGGCGGAAAATGGGCGCATTACCATTGCGCTATTGGGACAATTAACAATTACTCCAATTTAGTGCTGTTAACTGTAGAAGAACGCTTCGTACGTCCACGTGACGCGTGATTCGTAGAGCATTTTTTTCTGTGGAAAACCGAATTGTGATTTGAATGAAAGAAGTATAGAGGCACATAAAGTGTAAACATCGATACTTGTGTTATGGAAACAATCATAGATCATAGTGGCCAAATATTAAACTATGGAAAAATAATATGCTGCACATTACATTGTATCAATAATATTTCCAAGATCAATGATTCATCTTTAAGTTCTGGATGAAACGAAACAAAGTACAATGATCATTACACGGTATGTTTTGCAATAAGCTTCGCGACTCTAATTGCAAACGAACTATATGATCCTCTTCACGGCCCACTTAAAAGCCACACACCACACTCTCGATCCTCTTACACCTTTTACATAACATCATTCTAAACCGCTGTGAAATGGCAAGAAAAATAGCGAAGAAATAATCAGCAAACTGTTCAATAAACATGACGCCCATGGAAATGTCTATCAGCTGAACGCAAAGGAAGAAGTAGAAGCATAAGAAGACGAGGAGGCTGGTAACGAAGTTAGAGTGCGTAATCCAGATGCTCGATCTTCATTGTACTCCAAATTGCGCCACTCGTGTACGCACAGAGCACATAACGCTGCGTCACCCATATGGCAATTACGAAAACGCGCGCGAGATCCCTACTTCTACAAAGCCAGTACATGGCATCAACACACGCCTGTACGTAGACGGCATTAGCATACCAAGAAGCTCTCTTCCGCTGTCGAGCCAGCTCATCTGCCAACCTCGGCAATAGCCGTTGCTTTTGACAAAACAATACGTACGGGACAGCTAGCCGGATTTGCACCGAATGTCGACCCGAAATACTAAATTTTCGTTTATAAATCCGCCGCGCGAACGCTCTCCGGCTGATTGTCTCCCTATAGGTCAACAAAGTGAAATAGCCAGTCGTTTCCGGATTTCCGAGGCAAAACATTGCGCAATCGCGGCTCAGACTCCCCTCCACCGAGTCCACATTGTCTTTGGGAACAACGTGAGTCGGTTGTTGGTTCATCTTCATTGCGAGTCCCCTTTCTCGCACCTTCTCATAGAAAATGAGAACTCTACGTGCATGCGCATCGCACCGACACCGTCGAGGTTCTGTCGGTGGAGAGGGACACTTCGCGTTCTGCGCTATCGGTGTGTGCGTGGGAGCCCCAAGAAAGGGGGGCTCTCAGAGTGCAAAATTTTCCCCCCCAGACCATCTCTCTAACACTGCATATATATTCATCACCACCTAGCCTACCATCCTCAAATCACTTTTAGCATCCGTAGCTTTTTCGGCATACCATTGCCGGCTCTCTGTTGTGGCTCCAGTGGCTCTCTGTGAGCTTGTGATTTATTCGTTTATTTTGTTTTAAAGCTCTGTTTTTCTCTGCTTTTCATTGTGAACCGATGCAGTTTTGACTGACATTATTTGACACATTGTTCAAACTGCGATAAATGCATGCGATTAGCATAGACGCTGGTTGATTCAGGTGTTTTGAAATTTTTTTCGGATCAAAATGAAGGTAAGTGTACTCTATATATTTATACCATAATAGTACTAATTAAATATTTAAATTTACAATAAATAAGTCAGTTAAATATCCTATTATTACTTTTTTAGATCATTTTATAAATTGCTTTCTTTATTGAAATTAAATTTAAATTATCTTTAAATCTAAATTATTACAATTTTTTCACTTATCTTTAACTTTGGTAAAAAGTTTGTTGATTACGTAGGCGTTTATTTATGTATGAATATACTTTCCCATAAAGGGAAATCTTATTATTCTTTTGTTCACTAATGTTTTAATTGTCGTTTAAAAAAAATTATTTTGCTTTTTTAATAAGTACCATTTAAAAATATGACAAAACGTTGTAATTAATTAATTCAAATTGTCCGACTTATGAAATCATTTGAAAATTTAAGATATTTTATGCTATCAGTAATTTTCGAGCGAAAGCACAACAATTAATTTGATTAAAGTAATATGCTATACATTTCAGACTATTTCGAGGTTCTATTTGGGTAGCACTCTCCTTGTCATTGGATTGCTACTTTTATACCGAACAATGGCGGTAGGTATTCATTTAACTTGCATGTTACGCATAAAGTTACTCAACACACGAGGTGGAAAAAATGATCGTGAACCGTCAGTAAAAACAATTTAGTTGAGTATTGAATTCTAGAGCATAATTGCCGAGCAATAAAATACACACTTCGTGACACTTTCTATGCCGTAAAAACAAGCGAAGATGCGCTCGTGTAACATGCAAAACCGATCGTTGTAATTTCTTCCCATTATAAGAAATTTAGCGATCACCTTATGCAACGTATGATTACACGAAAAAGATGGACCGACAAGTGAAATGCTTTTACGAAACTTCGTGGGGCTCACAACTTTATAATCCCTGCTTCGTAAGCTGCATTATTTTCACGTTATTCCAACTTCTCACGAAGCGCGCCGCGCAACAATGACAAGTGAACGCGTTTTTCACATATTACTTCCCTTCGGTATATATGTACTCCTCGCCGCGCTAATTAATTAATTAACTTTTCGCACGCTTGGGTTGGTTCATTTTGAACATCTCCTAAATCAATTTTTCCCTTCAAATTTTATATTCGACACTTGCATTTTGGCGTGACGTCACGTGCGAAATAAAAATTTCATTACAATATGAGGCATTTCATAACATACATTGATAATTACACGCAATATTATGCAGTTTCGGATATATATTTTTGCTGCTGCTAATTTTCATGTCAGCGTTACATTTACTTATCTCTCTTTTTTCTCTTTTCGGACTAAAACCACAAAATTTTTTCTTACGCGTGTTTCCTTTCGACGAAACCGACTTCCTTTCCTTATCGTGGATATTTCTCAAAAAAAAGAAAAACGATAGCTGTATTTTATTATGTAACACTGTACCATAATGTTTCTCATCCGATGCATCTTATGCAAAACTGTAATGGATGATACCTATAGAATATAAGATTTCTTACCTCAAGATGATGCTAAGGGTGTAACCCATACTATTACTCAAAGTCTACATCAAGTGACTTTATAAAAATGGCTTTACACGTGAATGAAGAAATTTGATAAAAAGATGCGGTTGATATTTACGCTTTGAACGACCCTGGGGTCTTATTCCGTAAGCATCCAGAAGAACATAACATTAAATCAAATGAAGAGTGTTACCGTGTGACAGTCAATATTTGTTGTGTCGGCTGTGAGATACGCTGACACAACCGGCGGATTAAAATCCCTGGTGTATCACCTTTACCGATCCTCGTACTTTGTTCAGTTTTTAGCATATCACGAAAGGATTGTGAGCTTATTTTATATTACAATCATATGAATCTGGGTATTCTTTCGTTTTGTTTTAAGTAGACTGGCAATTTGCATTCCATTTCACGCTACAGACACTTGCTCTCCTGACAAAATCTAAAACATTTTGACCGTTACGTCATTGGTTCAAAAACGACAACGCAATGGCACAATCTGTCGATCAGTTATTGCGCAACCTCGAATAGAAAGAAAAGAGTTTTTCGAACGAAATACGAACGAAACGAATGACTGGCATAATACGCCGATTCGTCTGTTTTATTGAGCTCGCCGGTGATCGTTGTCAGTACGAAATATAGTCAAGCGCGCGCACGCGACAAAAATACTACAAAAAAAAAGAAGCGTCAGAGAGGTGGGGAGAGAAGGAGGGGAGTCAAACAGAAAGAAAAAGCGCCGACGGGCGTGCGATAGCCCAATGCAAGACAATTAAATTCAACAGGTGCGAAGGTTGCAGCATCCTATCACGCAACCGCGTAGGCGCATGCGCGCGCGAGCCATTCATTTTCACCGGAAGCCGCGGCCGTGAAATTTTGATTGACGTCGGCAAATAAAGGAGCCCCCCCGATTGTCTTCCGATCTTTATTTTCCCCGGACCGACACTGCGATTATATTCGGACGTCAAGTAACGCGATCGAACGTGCGATTGCCGCGAGGACTTGTTAATCGTGATGCCAATCTTGATAACGCCAAGCTTGTATCCTTTTATTGTTTGGTCGTTGCACCTATGCTCTTGGCGAACTGGGCATATTCCGTTGAAAAAATACGCGTGTTCTAGCTAGCTTTCGCTAGCTCTCAGATATCATTAATTCTGTATCTGATTTTAAGAATTACAATTACTCTACGAAAACAATCAAAATAGCTACTAATTGATTATACGATCGTCGATGTTCCTTTCATTACCTTGCGCGTTATTACGCTTTAATCAAGACTCATCTAGATAAATTGTTGACCCGTTTCTCACTAACAATATACACAATGAACGATGCCAGACAAGATATGCATTTTGCTTCTCTTCGCATACTCGATTCATGTGGAAAAATGTGGAATACAAGAGTATTTGATAACTGACGTAATTTTGCACCTCAAGGTATTTCATTTCCTGTTACATACGCGCGTGCGCGCATGGACAAATCGTTCGACATAGCAATTGAAATAATGTAATACTATTATAACTATACTGCTAATACTGCAACTACATTATTCTTAAATTTACTCTCTCATAATAACAATCTTTATATCGTTATATTGGCATCTGTGCGTAGTTTTTCACATTGTGATTTCGAAATTTCGGTAGCTATTTATTTTTATATATTTACATACTAAATTATTTATAGTCGGTTACGAATCAAATTTTAAATCAATCATTTTCTACTGCCCAGGTTAATCATAGCGCACAATCACTGATGGTAAAATGCGGAAAACATCACTATTCAATATTCAATATATTAATTAACTAATTTTGTATCGGTTGATTAAACTTATTAAGTTGTGCTATTAAAAATTAAAATCATTAATTTAAAATTTATTTGTAATACTCGTTAATATTTCATTTCTTATAATTTTATTTGTAATTATAATTTTGTACTTGTACTCGTACTCGTACTTGTAGTTTTGTTATCTAAAAGATACACTAAATCAAATTTATATTTGAAACAATTTTATAAATAAAACCAAACAGTTTAGGTAAAGAATGAATGTTTCTTGTCATATGCTTCCAAATATTTTGGCAACGATTTATAAAATTGACTCAGTTTTACGAAAATTCTCAAGTTCACTTTATCTATTATTGCCTAGTGAAAATTTTGAATTCTAAATAAATATAGAAACGCATAATAATAGGCCTGCATAAAACGTTTATTATTTTTTAGCAAGTTGATGGATATACGCCTGGAGTAGATTACCCAATATACAATTCCGTACCGTTTGGTCTGCCTTTTACCTGCAGAGGTAAAATACCAGGTTACTACGCCGATCCCGATACGAGATGTCAGGTAAATCGTTATATTTATTATATCATTCCGGCGGATTTGAATTGAATTTTTTTCGTTAGCGATATCGACGAATTGTGATACGACATTTCATAATATATATTGAACATTGAAAGGTATGGCACTGGTGTATTCCCGGAGGAAGGATGTTCAGCTTTCTTTGTCCGAACGGAACTGTATTCAGTCAAACGGCGCGTGTCTGTGATTGGTGGTTCAAGGTAATCAAAAACTATTTTAATTTCTTTCAAAATTTTTATTATTTATTTTTAATTAATTTAAGGTTGACTGTGCCGACTCACCTCGTTTATACAGTATCAATGAGGACCTTTACAAGGATGCGCGAGGAAACTGGATTTAAGCGTTTATATTACAGATCGAACGCCCGTATTGTTTTTTTCTTCAAAAATAAGAATGTAAATTAATAAACTTCACCTTATTTTCATACTCGGTACTAAAATTGTTGACAATATAATGTTCTTTTTGCCGACGTATCGTATGATACGTAGAACCGTTGACTTTACCAACGCAGGATATAGTGACAGGTATGTCGTATTCTTCGCAGAAGTAATCTTTTTCGAATGTTGATATCAATAGAACTATTACAAAAAGATTTTTTTATTTTGCAAATTAATTTGCAACCAGCTATTTATCATTGTCTTTCGGGATAAACATTTTTTCCCTACAATCACTTTCATTACGCATGTAGAGACTACATTGGTGCATTCAACATTTGAGATTCATGAATTGAGAAGAGTGAATTTCCATTATAAAATCCACGTGAATACGTGTGCCTCATGCAAACCTAATGTTTACCAAACTCAACTGCATCTAGTTAAACAAATCATCTCTTGGCGATTTATAGCCGACAGCGTTGCTCCTTTTTCCTGGTGGAATTTTGATCGTAAAATGGCGCGTATCGCTATTTGCCTGTGTTTACATTCACGACATTTATCTACGATCACGAGCGAATTAATCAGCTGACAAATCCTCCAAGATTACTTATATTGATACCGCAACATTTGACGATCAAGCATTAGAGGATCGTACCGCGGGTACCGTCCAAAAACGTACTTTTCCATGTCCATCATAGCCAATAGAATTGATGGAGTGCGTGTTTCGGTCAGACCGTGCAGATACATGAGACACGAGCGCGTCGACACTGCTCCTTGGCAATTTCTTGGCGCGATTGGGTAATAGAAAGTGAGCGTTCGCTCGCGATCGGTTGACCAGGCCGCCGCCGCGCCGCCGCGACTTTGCCAGGCGCGTGCTGCACGTTCTACCCCTCCCCCTCTCACCCGCGACTCGCTCGAACAGCTGTCTCCGCGTGAGATTGTTGCGCGCCGGCCCGTTTATTTATGTACACGACCGTATACCACTGCCACCATTGTACGTGTATTCTCCCAGGTTTGTGATGAGAAATATCTCAATTAGCAAGGCGCGTACACGTACCTGCGTACACGTAGATTTTACGGCCGACTGTTTTTCGTTTTCGTCAGAAAAAGCGAGTAATTGCAAATGCCGTTTCCCGAACCTCACTGAAATATCATCGCTTTTGCATTGAGCTCTCAGTCATTTTCGCTAGTAAATTCTTTTTCAACGTCGATGCCCATTGTCCTGACGATTGTTACTTCAGTGCTAATTTATCTCGGCGATTTTCGTCAAGTCTGTTATAAATAGCCGAACTGAAAGGCGATAAAACGTTTTAATGGCGCATTTCTCGTTTCGTTCTCTCTCGAAAAACTAATTGCTGGATTATCTCATTGAAAGCCGCGCGTGTGTTCAACTTTCACCGAATTTCAAATTCGACATTCGAACTGCTTCGCCTGATTTTGCGGTGAACGGAAGTGGCGTCTCTTTGCGTTCCTTTTCATTTTCATCCAGCCACTCTTCAAATTAATCAAAGTATCGGCGATATCGTAATCGTTAACCGAGTTCATCGAAGCGAGCAAGGGAAACTCGTACGTGCGTACGATGACGAGAGAAGGAAAGGGTATGCGCGTTGGACCGCGTAGAAGGGGAGACCTAGTTGGCAGCCTAGCCGCGCAAGGATGCACGGCAGCGTCACGGGTCCCGAGGACTTTTGGAATGACAATGCTCGTTTCCTTCGCGCACGCTGACTCGACTGCTAGGCAGGCAGGCGACTGTAGCGTACGTACGCGATGTTTCCGGCTTTCGCGCTGAAAGCCATGAACAATGAGAGCAAATTGTGCCTGCGCAGAGAGAGAGAGAGAGAGACCTCCTTAGAAAGCGTGCGTGCGCTCCGCGCAGGCGCGCACGCAGCTTCCTGCTCCATTTCTTCTTTCCCTCTTTTCGTCGCACGCGGCTGCTAGGACTCGTTACGCGAGGGCAAACAATTTGCAGCCTCGGCTTCTGCGTATACGTACGCGAGACGACGACATGTATATGCGCAGGCCGCCTCGTTAAGCAGACTGATGTACTCCAACTAGCGTATCACTTTTCAGTAAGCCGCGTCGGGCTTACGCAACCGTCGTAAGCCTTTTTAATGTCCGTAGCCATCTCAAGAGATAGAAGTTTATGTTGTCGTTTGCGTTTACGAACGTAGTCAATGATTTTCGCGAAAAATATATTCTATAAAAAGTATATTTGGTTCACTACCGATAGTTTCGCGAGTGTGTGATTTTTTTTCATTGTTCGTTTCTCTTGGTACCAAGCTCATGATTGTCAGAGTGCAACTTGAGAATCCCGGCAGACCGTTCGAAATGTCTACTTCACGCACCATCCAGTCAATTAAAGTCCTGCGTCGACAAAAGAGGTCGCGCCAGCTTACATATACAAGAGAGAAAGAGAGAGAAAATAGCCAAGACTCAATTGTACGCGTCTTGGTGTAATTTCACCTTTAGACAACACGAAGCCAAGTTTCATAAATCAGCGCGAGTTGAACTTTCGCAGGTGAGTATATAGTTAACGAAGAGGATGGACGGTCGCTCGCTTGCGCGCGCGTGGCGAGTGAAAGAGCCTCGACTGGACGATATGATATACGCAAGGATACGCGCGTCGCCGTTCAACCTTGAATGGAAACAACCGGAGAAAGAGACCCGGGAAAATATTCGAAGAAAAAAAATTGAGAACTCGATGTCCTTAAGGGGTTTCTGAACTTTACCGTGACCGCAGTCGACGAACTTGGCCGCATTGTGTGCTTCGTCGATGCGGGCGTCAGAATTCCAGAAATACCAGACTGGTTGCATTATACCGATATGCCCTGCGCGCGAAAACATTGCTATTCTCGGCTGGTTCGTCGAGCAGCAGAGATGGTCTTTTTTTGGTGGAAAAGTTCTCGGAGGAAAGGTTATCGACTGCACGCTTCTTTATGTATTTCGAGTCGGCGATAATTTTGCGATTTACAGTTGGCCGCAAGGAGCAGCATTCCGTTGGAGAACAAAGAGAATTCGAGTTTCGCACTGTCGTCGCGATTCCTTTTTTAATTTCTGTATGTCGTTCCGGATAGCGAGATAACGCTTACTGGAACCAAAAAAAAAAGAGCAACAACAGAATTTCACTTTGTAATCGTTCCTAGAGATGAAATATTTATTTCAATCAAGACAATTATGATAATGGACTTACAATGATTTTTAATGCAGATATCAAATCATATTCACACCTCTGATTGATCCGACTACTCTTGCTTCGTCATTTTATTGTCCATTATTGTGTGCGTGTTGAAAAAACAAGACTACCATTTTCATAAATTAACAAGCTTACATTAATTGAGGAACGCTCTTCTGCATAACGATGTCGAAAGACTTAATGTAGAGTTCAAGGTAAAAGTAGCATATTCACAGTTAAACTCAGACAATAGATCTCAATAGAAAACTCATTTACATTTGATATAATGGTAGTCACGTGAGCATGTAATCGTATACTTCTATCATACCTTGCAGAGTTTTTGCGTAGGCAGAGTGCTGTCAATTGCGAAAGTCGTCTACTATATTACTCGACTATCCTATAGTGCTAGACGTTTATTCTTATTCTCACAAACATTGGTTTTTAGAGATTCGAGTGTAGAATTGAAAATATTTATTGTATTCAATTTATAATGAATTTTTCATTGCAATTTCATTCATTTGAAGTGTTTCCAATGATTTTTTTAACTTCAAGTGTACTTAGCTCATATAAGTAATCGTAAGAAGCATCAAAATATTGATTATTTTTCAATTTGAAAAAGTACGTGATTATGAAATATAATAAAAGGGGATTGGTCTGGTTTGATTATAAGTCATAAGAATACATTGTGACTATTAATTATTTTCTCTTTCAAAGAGCTCATTTCATTCTCTCGGTTCTATTACAATTTATCACTTTCATATTCAAGAGTCAATCAAGTGCATGCACGCCTACTTAGTGATATAGCGTTCTCACGATCTAGGATACGATCGATTGTACCATGCCTTAAGAATGTAGTTTTTTTTTTAAATAACACTTTAATAGTCGATTTTTTTAATGTTCCGATTATCGCCGATAAAAGAAGGTCACAAAAACTATAAAAATATGAAAGTGTTCACATATCGATCACAAGACAACAAACGTGAAATATTAATTTACACAGAAAATTACTTTGGAATTTTTGGAAGATATAAAACAAACAAATCATTTGACGGTTAAAATCAACGGGTATTATAAAGTATACTAGTAAATCAAAAAGGACGTAAAAATTTAAAAATGCAAAAGACCACTCGCCGTATAATTAACGTCGTTGTGATGTAACGTTAAAGTTGACGTCATCTATAAAATTGACGGCTATCGGCAAAATAGATATATTTTGGGAAAACCAAGCTTTCCATATTCTTATAAGATCTTTACAAAAATTTCCAGAATGGTATCAATACTGGCCGTAAATATGAGGTAAAACCTACTCGTTTCTTTGTTTCGTACAGAACCAACTTGCACACATTGGAAATTTCACGTAGCAACAATAAACTCTATCCTTTTTCAGTGACCGGTTAAAATGTCTCGTGTCGCATAATCTACTATACCATCGTCAGCAGGTTTCCACTAAAAGAAATCGATATGTGCAAGAAGAGACTCGGAATGCAAACGAACCATTGTGAATCACACAGAAACTTTGAGAAAAAAGTGCGAATGGCACGTTGAATGAAGAATTTCGATTCCGCTCGCGATGCGCCACCCGATTGTTACGGCAACTTCGCTGCCGTGTTATTTGCCTCAAAGAGATTCCATTTGCGTTCTACTTTCACTCTTCGTAACTCAATAGATCTTGTTAAAGCGAACGCGTGGGCGATAAGCTCATCGCCAAGTCGATTAGCGAAAAAAATAGAGTCGGAACATTGTTTGACGAGGACGTTTGGATTTTCTAACAATGAGATGCGATCACGCAGCTCGTAAGCTTAGTATTTTCTTTTAATATTTTGAACGCGGATAAAACAATATTCAATGGCTAATCTTTTTCTCTTTCGAGATGAGTTACGATTCCGAGAAGAACTTTCTCGCGTTCGAATAATAATGTAATCCGAAATATGTCCTGAAGTTCGAAGTAAAAATTTTTTCCGTCCAAGCGTATCATGATTACCCTAAAGAAGTATATGCGATGTGAAACGCAGCGGAAATTCCGCACGACGTAAAAGGCAATTGTTTTCTCGGAAGAGTGAATAAAAAAAAGTACGTCCAGCGTGCTAAAATTGCATAAGAAACTTCAGACCGCAGCTACAGCACACCGTGTGTACAAATTTTATCTCTGACTCAAGTTGCTACAATTATGATCCTGGCAAAACTTTTATTACTGTACAGCAGCGGTTATATGCCAAGTCGCGCGCTTTGCAACGCGGATCCGCGCGAAAACTTGGTGTGAAAGTGCGACCTCGGGCCCCTCCTGTGAAATCGTTAATTAAATTAAAGTGTCGAGGAAAAAAAAAAAACAAAAAAAAAACAAAAGAAAACAAAAAAAAATACAGCGGACCACTTACGCGACGCGATATACCCGCATAACAAGGATCTGCGCGACGTCTCTTGTATTGACCGCGTGCTTCGCTTTCTTTCTGCACGATAACGCTCTCCACGACATAAATAACATTGCATGGGATAAGACAAATTGCGCGGTACATCACACAGCCAGAGAATCTTATTTGGCGAGATGACAATCCGCCTTCGTGAATGGGTCATATACTTGTGTCAGCAATGATTTACCGGTTACGTGAATGCTTTCTCGGAAAAAGAATTCAACATTTTTCAAGAAGATTTTTAAAAATCAAATCTTGCTTTTGTTCCGATGTTATATTTAATGCGATGCAGACTGATGAGCTATTCCAGTTCCGCGTGCAATTATCAAAAATGCCAATTAACAAGATGTTTACGCTTGACCCATCCAAGTTGCATAATATTGATGATGAGCGCTAATGAGATTCAGCCCGAGGGTGCAAATAACGTCGCATACGATGACGATACATTTAAAAGCGGCTTTTACTTTCTGCGCTGAAAAAATAGCTATCAATCGTAAATAATTAATAACTCGACACTAATGGTACGCCAAGGTCTTGCATTTTACCAGTTAGCTGGGATTTTTTCTATTCGCATTGGCTCATACCTCATTATCGCTCATAGGGAATAATCCCATCAAAAGGTGGAAATTATGACACTACGGCGATAATGATTTATTCATCCGTGAATGGAAAAAAGAGCGTCGTCGTGTATCGCCACTTGAGCAGGCAAAGTACTTAGAACGCCCTTGGAAATCATTCGCGAAATGCTCGTGCGTATTCCACGCGCGTGCCTGCAGTTACGTTATAGGCATACGCATTGCCAGCGCGTGTCGATGGAAGAAGCTCCATCGCACTCTTTTTCTTCTTGAAACGCTTGCACGTTTCTTGTAGCCAACCGAATACATTAAAATCCACTTTTATGACAAATGGCTGTATCAGGCGCGCGAGAGAGAAAAAATATCGTTACGAAGCGAGAGTCTTACGCGTAGCTTTGCAAGAATTTATTCGGCGTGTAGTCCGCCAAGACTTGTACAACGTTTTTTTATAAGTTGCCAATTTCACAGATGCATAGAGATAAGTTTGAAGAAAACATGCATTCGAAGGAAGCATAATTGTCAATTTATCACGTCGTAGTTGCAAACAGAGCATTGCAAAAATCGAATACATTGCGATGAGCGCCGAATAATCAACTTCTATTCTAAACACACATAATTATTGTAAATAATTTTTTATTTGCTCTATTGATCATTTGGAATTCATCAATACGTATCTTTATATAGCTGGAATCTGTAGCAGTAATATTGGAATTGGAACAAGACTAAGTATTAAGTAGTGAATGGAAAAGTGATCTAAACTAACTTACGGGTCTGTAAGTAGAAAAGAGTCGCGCTTTGGTCAGACACGTACAAGATGCGTTGATGTCAACTCTGGATTGCTGTGCAACCGCAATTGAATTTTCAAACAACTGTTTATTTTCGATAGAATAAATTTCTCTAAGCTACTGGTACTCAACATAGAATCAAATATTTTTCATGGAAATAATTGAAATTGTCCAAATGTCTATTTAGCGAACAAAAACTAAATTTGCATCGATGATTTTGAGAAATTTTTTGAAGAAAAATGCGTTGAAAAATATTTGAAAGAGGGCCCTAAAATAACAAAATCCATCAATATTATGCTGAACAGGTGCGTACCGTTGAGAATCAAGCAAAGCTTACGAGTAGACGCCTTTCGCCGTTGCATGGAAGTATCTCCCACGCCACTGGCATGGAGTTCTTCGTAATCGACTTACACTTGTCTCGTACTCGCAAGGCATACGGTATACTACGCCAATGGACTGTTTTATCCCCACCTGATGTACATATATACGTTTAGGGCCCCCTTGGAAAGAAAGGGGGGAGTAAAAGAGAGAGAGAAGGCCCCGCTCCTCGCGATAGAAAGCTCGAGTCGCAGACGACCAAGTCGCAACTACTTCAGAGACTGTGTGTTGGTGTCGTTCTCACTCACTGCTGTTGCCGGTCGGTCAGTCAGTCTCGTTCTCGCGAGCGTGCCCGCAACTCGTCGTCTCCGTTTCCGTCGTCTCCGTCGTCGTCGTCGTCGTCGTCGTCGTCGTCGTTGTCGTCGTCGTTGTCGTCGTCGTGAAAGTGCCGAATATAGTGCATCTTTTTGTTTTATTATTCCTCCACCAGTGCGTGGACCTCACCGCGCGCAAAAAAAGGGATAATCGAGCAGAGGATACATTTACCACCCCAAGAGTGGAGCGTATGCCGCATTTTCTTTCATGAGGGATTGATGCGCATGCTGCTCCGAGACTGAGACACAGCCGAGACAGGTCAGTGTTTTTAAATTTGTTTGCTTATTTGTACGGTTCAGGGAAAAAGTGTGGTCAACCGTCCGTCCGCTTTCTAATGAAAAAAAAAAAAAAAAACAAACGATCAATCGCACGATCGATTAGCGAAAGAAAACGAAAGTGAAGAGATCGGAGGTATCAAGCAGGCACAGCTTGCTCTAGCGTTGACATCTCTTTTCTCACGTGAAAATGAAAGTATAACCAATCGGAATTGGTCGTCGGGGCATTCATTCAGTCTATTTTTTTTTCCACTCTCGGTGAGTGTATAGACGCAGCTACTTATTGATGCTTCTCTCGGTTTTAGTAGGACGCTGAAAATGAAAGCTAGACGTAACGTCGAAAATATCGAGTGGCGTCTCATCACAGTTGTTGTTGAGAAATGAACGTTACTTCTTTCCAATTGATTCTCTGAGTTATGAGCGAAAAGAATATAACTGGCTGCTGCACGGTTCGTTGTTTCTTTTGCTCTGCTCAAAAGCGGCGCAACGCGCGCGAGGATAACGTGTCTTTCACTTTCGACCTGCTGCAGGTATTTGAAAAAAAGAAAAAAAAAACAATAATTAATATAAGTAAAGCAAGTTGCTGCTTTTTCAACGATATATAGAGTGCAACCAGATCGAGCGAAAGTTTATACATGTACATAAAACAATTTTAATCGCGAGTGGACAAGTGTCCGTCTCGGGCGCGGTGCTTCGGCACACCTGTTTTTACAATCTGTACATCGACTGAGCGGGCTTGCTCCTTGCTCGTAAACAATGAACCTTCGGTGCAATTTGGCCTAGAGATAACGAGTCTGAACTTTCTTTCGTTGCAAACCTTGCCAACTACGTTTTGGAGGTTCTTTCTTAACGAGCACGCCAGCATGAGAGAGAGAGAGAGAGAGAGAGAGCTTTTCCAGAACCTTTGTGCCAAGGCACATTAACGCTATACTACCGTCGAGTGCAGTGAAATTGCTTGGCGAAGAATTTACGTAGCGTGGATTCTTGTGGCCGTGTACAGCAGCAGAGGCAGACACTCAAATTGACGCAACACGCTCACTGTCAATTGCTCGCGTTCGTATTCTTTTCATCGAAGAAAGCACAATGAATTCGTACATCCATCAGCTACGATCGAGGTGACGAAACGCGCGAAGGATAATTGGACGAGATCGACGAGCGCTTATTGTGGAACAATCGATGGACGTGTCGATGGAAAAACAATGCAGGCAAAATGCTGTGCGCATCAGACAATAAACCTGCCGACAGCTCTCATTAGTGATAATTTATCCGAGGAATGTAGGCGTAGATGTACACGGTATACGTGTGCCGGGCGCAAAGTGCAACCGCGAAACTTTCGCCGCTGCATCCTTGACTCCTTATTCCATTTTCTCGCGTGCGTTCGTCGCTTGGTTCGCGACTCTTTTAGGCAATCATGCCGATATCAAACGAGCGGGAGAAAGAAAGAGATAGCGAAACGAGAAGCCTCGTCGTGTCGAAACCAACCGATCGCCAAGTTCTGCTGGCGCTTTGTTGCGCCGGGGCGGCGGCGGCGGCGGCGGCGGCGGCGGCAGCGGCGGCAGCAGCAGCAGCAGGACTTTCGAATGTGGAATATGTACACTGCACGTGTCCAAGGACGGGGGAGGGAGCATAGAAATCGATTTCACAATGCAGGATAATTCGGCTCGCCGCGTTCCTTTTTTCGGACACGCATGTAACGCTCTTTCCTCCTTCGCATTTGCTCGGGCGCGCGTGCTTCGCATGGAGTTTCGTAAAGCGCTCGCTGACCAATTTCGTCGGGCGATCGAGCTTCGAGATGCGCCTCCTGTGGACGGGATTCTCTCTTATTTGACTAATTGATCGATATTTACACGGAGAGTGCGCTGGAGCTCCTCGTTGCAAGACGGAATCATTTCACGCTGACGCCATAGCCGCGCGAGTGTTGTACCCGTAGCATCTTGGAGCACCGTCGAGAGATTTGTGTGCCGTGAGTTTCTAATTGCCGATCGCCTCCAGGAAGCGAAAAAAAATCTCTTCTTTCTTTTTCTCTTCTAGAAAGCTCGGAAAATTTTATCCAAATGATTGCAAGCCTATCGGGGCATTTTTCTCTCACCGTGCAGTATTGCAAAAAGCTATTCTCCATCTAATGTAAGTATAGATAGCAGACGACGAAGAATCGTCGAGCATACTTAACTGGACTAGTTGTGGTCGAAAACGAAAACGACACTGCCGCAGCCGTAGCTGATTCGCATGAAAGCGAGAAAAGACGGAGAATTTTTCTTTTTTTTTTCGACGTACTGTAGGCCTCAACGGTACGAATAGTCGCCTCAAACAATCTGATAAAAAGAATCGCCGACAGCACCGAGAAACGCGTTTGCGACGAGCGTAACAATTCGACACTTTCGAGGTGAGCGCGAGACGAATTTTTAAGAAGGTTCATTAACGTCAGGACTCTCGTAGGAGAAAAGAGCTTCCGGCAGACTTCGATCCTTATTTGCCACGGAGGAGGACGGGTCGGTTCTTACGTATAAACATTTTTACTGTTTACGTGATCGTTAGATCCGATAGATTGCTACAGTTGCGACACATCGTCGTTTCAACGAAAAAAGTGAATAAAATTAATCAATGATATGATGACTTCACAGCTCGCGGTCGAACTTTCGATATTCATTTATACGAAAGTTATACATTCAATGAGCGTTAGAAAACTGTAAAAGGTTTTCACTTAAAACATATTATTTAAATTTTCATGAACTGCCACGGTTTACCTGGCGCTTGCGTTCATTAAGGTCCGCGTTGATGATAGATTTTCACATATTTCTTTCATATTTTTTTTTATCCAACGTAATAACGACTATGGATTCTTAATAGAAATCGTTATTCAATCGTGAGTCTCCTATTAGCATACCTATATCGAAGTTTTGTATATAATATGAAGCTGCGGCGATCGCTTATAAAAGATTACACGTATCGCAAAGTCATTATAAAATTTTTATTTGTTTTTCTATTTCAATGAATTCAATTCGAAGAAAAAGGAAGAAATTTGCTCGTTCTAAATTCTCAATAGTCACGAATAGTCAGAGTGTGCCAAGTTTGAGTAATTGGAACTTTCTCAGCAGAAATAATTTTTTCACACAATGTCAATGAAAAAAAATTAATTTCACGCTCTGTCAGTCGTAACAAAATATCGATCGAAATATTGCGCAAAATTTCCCAAAACTTTCCCAAAACAATTTATGCTCAATGTTTACAATAAGTTAGTTTTCTCGATCGACAATGAATTGAACATTTCACGCTAGTCTCATCGAAATTGCACGTGTACGCGCTAGAAAAAGCGTAAGCCGCATTTCCAGGCGAAACTCGATCTCCGTCCACGTAGATGCAGCTTGGAATGAAAGAGGCTCCGCCGAGACCAGGAGCGAGCTGACAATGAAAAATGTTGATACGTATAATCGCGCAAACCATGTCTATCGACACGGGTGATCCGTTGTATTGCGTGTTGCAACACTTCGCTCGGCATCGTATCGGAGTGAGCAAGCTACATGTGGATATATATATAAGAGGCTTGCAAACGTACATTTTGCTTAACCTCGAGACAGTCATGTGCTCTGCTCGAGTACAGTAGCAAAAGGCGACAGGTCCCCCACGCTCGTAATGTATTCTAATGTGTTCACGTTCACTTTCGACGCGCGCCGCCGCGGCAAAGAAAGCGAATCTATGTTGCAGACACACACACACACACACACACACACACACACACACACACACACACACACACGAGAAATCAAAAGCCTCAAGACTTCCTTTGCATCCTTTGGCTTCGACACAACTCTGTTCTAAGCGGATGCAACGAACTTCCTTGTATGTTTTTTACATGTCCGCGCTTATATTCGCACTGTAATTTGTAGACAGGCTATCGACTCGTATTATTCTTGAGAAAATACTTTCTGTTTGTCAAACCAGTAATTTACCGTTCGTTTCAATTGGATTCTGAACAATAAAGGAAAGCTCCATTTTAACGGAACAATCATCGCATAATTTTGATAAAAAGAAAAAAAGAAAAAAATAAACAAAAAAACAACGAAAATTGATGTCGGCTTTTGTCAGAATACGAGGGAGAAGGTTTACGTATATCGCATGCCTTTTAATCCTTGCGAAATCTCCAGCCAAGTTTACCGCGAAACTAACGACTTTCTCTGTTTCAGCCGGCTTAGATATCAATCAATATAGATTGAAATCCGCGTTCGTTCCTTTTTTTTCAACCAATTCAAAATATAGAAAAATAACTGTTTTTATCTCTCACTGAAACACGAACACAGAGCGAATACCGGAAGCGAGAGCTTTTGCGAACGTAAATAAACTGACGTCGAAGATGCAATGTTACGTCACGTAAATAATTAAGCTACCAAATCGCGTGTTACTGCAAACAAATTATCTGATCAGAAGAGTTTTTATATCAAAGCTGTTAATTTTTGTTGTTGTCGCAAAGCATACAATCGTAGTAGGAAGCATCGAAACCTGTTGCTGCCTAGCACGTCGCGGCAACTATGTTTTGTATTCTCACTATCGACGGCGTTGATTTACGTTTGATTACATGTATATATATATATATATTTTTTTTTTCTCAAAACGGATTCTCGGATACGTAACTATCTCGGGGTTTCTGCGTGGGCCACGCACAATCTCGGCCGCATCTCGCTTGTTCATCCAGGGTTTCAATAATTCTCTCTTGCCGGACAATCCTCAAAAACACACGAAAACCTTCCTTTACATCCAACGTCTCGCTTTGAATGCCATGCGTTCGCACGGACAATGAACAGCATTTTGGCTTACACTCTATGTTATCGGCGCGACTCTATCAGGATTCCTGTTGACTGGCAGCTCTTTTTCGTTGGCGTTGGGCAATTTTTTTTTTCAAATCTTCCATTGTTTCTGCCATTGCGTTTTGCGAAACGACGAAAAGATTAAACAATGGCTTGGACTTTTTGAAATATGCCTATACGATAA